AATTTTGGGAAACCCCCACATGGGCAAAGCCACCACAGCCCACTGGTCAAGTGTAGGTGCAGATGCCTCCAAACCATGCGGGTCCACACCACCTTCCAGCAAGACCTGCGGCATGGAGCCCGGCTTCCCAAGAACGTCCTGGTCAGCAAAGCGCCAAGTCGCACATTCACACAATTTTACGCAGATCCTGCATTCTGCCTTGAGCCCTTCGAGGTCACCATCCTCTGCCAGCAACCGCTGGAGCTCTGGCGGCATGCCGCCAGGCGCACCGAGGAGGTCCTAGCAATGGTGATGTCGCAGCAACATGATGCAAGGCCTCTTCATTTGTGGCCAGTGTGGCAAGCACAGGCTATTCTGGAACCAAGTCACCTCTAAACCATCAAGGCCATCGTAACCGAAGCCCATGCCTCATCACCGGCTTTTGCACGGCTACAGCTGACAAGGAGGAGCGCGCCAGCCTTCTTGAAAACCGCCCATTGACTGAAGCAGATCCTTGACAAGACACATGGCCGACAATTTTCACTCAACCACCCCGCATGCTGTGCTCCTCTTCTTCGTCATCTTCCTGATTAAAAACATTCTCTGCAGCGTAAAGGACGGCATCGACCGTATGAGCATCGTCTGAGTCTAATCCATCAATCGTGTAATCTTGCAGCATGCCTGCCTCGTTAAGCTCGTCAATCCGCTTTTGCAATCGACGCAGAAGGCGAGGCTTATCATCCTTCAGCACCTCAGCTACCTCGAGAGAAATTCCGAGAATGTCTGAGAGCTTTTTCGGGTCTGGCACGAAAGCAGGGTTCTGCTTGACCGCGCCAAGCTCCTGCGCTCAAACCGCAGGAGTTGCAGATCCATCGCGAGGCACCCTCCATGAAAAGCTGATTCTATTTTCATGCAATGCTACAACAATGACGTCACTGCACTGCAGACTTGCTTGCTCCTCAGTTGCGGGACTTTCCTCATTTGCAGGAGTCTCAGAACCGGCAACCGCTCGGTACCTGAGGGGATCCAAGGATGTTCTGGTGGCAGCACTTCGAAACCACGGTGTGCTATGGTTGCTGCTGCTGATGATGGTGATGATGATAGCATCAGTCAAAGCTGATACATGTTGCCGAGCTGGTGGGGGGCCAGGCAATCAACCTCTGTGCGCGTGGAGGGACAATCATCTCCGGACAGTACCGGGGAGGACGGCAGGGTGGTCTCTTTCAGCAAAGATGCATTTCGAGCACCTGGTCCAAAACCTAAGCTGCTTCATGCTCAGTACCCAGGAAAAGCTACAGTTATTCCATTCCTGCTTGATGTAGCCTTGTTTTTGAAGCCTGCGGCACAGCATTGGGAATCAAGCGAAAACCTATCTAGAGCAACCTGGAAAACCAAATTTTGCCAAACGGCGCTCAAGTGCTTTGCTGTATTCGTACTAGACATATGGCAGCTTCCGCTAAGGCGCCTTTGCTTTGTCTACCCTCTTCTGCATGTGGGCACGGATGTCTGGCACAGGTACCTGCGAAAACAGCCCTCCAAGGCTCACTCAGGTTCACCGGTTGAGCATGAGTCGGGAAATGAAAAGGCGTGAGTCAGGAAAAAGAACTGTGAGTCCGAAAAAGCGACGTGAGTACGCTGAAAAAGGCCAGGTCAAGAGAAAACGGCAGGAGTTGGGAAAAAGGCAGGCGTAAGTTGGGAGAAAGAAAGGCGCAAGTCCGGAAAAAGCAAGGCATGAGTCGAGAAAAACGACATGATGAAAAAGAAAAGCCATCGGGCAACTAACCTCCTAAACCCTGGGATATTTACCTACACCCTGTGCAAACTGATTGTGCCAGCTGCCTGTACTTGGCTTTGCACTTGGCTTTACTCCCTCCATTTCTTTCTAAAGTGCAATGGAGGTGGCTTTAACACGTCATGTTTGTACCTGGCTCTCCCTCATTCACTTGTCACGGTGGTGTGGACATGTCTCGCGAGGTGAAAAGGATTGGCTTCAACATGTAAGAGTATCTGTACCCTTGCTTTGCCACATCAGCGTCAATCCTTCTACCGACCGTTCAAAAGGACGTGGTTTCAACATTTGTCTGTACATGTCTGTACTTGCCTTTCCCTCTGTCACTTTCCATGGCACTTTAGTCCTCTTTTAGAAGATGAAGAAAGGGGTGATGTTAACCTAAATTTTGCACCTGGCTTTGCCCCTGTCACTGCATTCCCTTTTTCGCAGAGTGAAATGGGGGTGGTTTCAAGATGTCTGTGCCTGGCACTCACTGTGTCTCTTCTTGCTACTAATCCTATGCTTGTATCCGGCTTTCCCGTAGTCACTTCCTTCCACTCAGTGCAAGGCGAAAAGGGGTGGTATTAGCACATCGTGTGCTTCCCTAGTGTTTTGTCTGACTCGCTGTCTTTTTCCTGACTCGTGATTCGTTACAGGTTCACCCTCCGTTACCACCTCTTCAGTCGCAAAGAAAAGGAATGCAGAGAAAGAGCATCTTACCTGGTCCTACCCCGCCAGCTGTCCTTTGCACAAGGCGGCGCGCCTTAGAGACATCTGCCTTCGTGCCATCCGGCAGGAGAAATTCGCCAGAAGGGTCTCCAATGCCGGTGACTTGCTTCATGAAGGATTCAAAGGAGAGCTTCCTTCCAGAGCAATGTACTCTATGCCGCTCGTCACATGCATATTGCCGCTTTCCCGCTATGATGCAAGTACACCCCATACTACCTTTCCTTCACAAATCCTGCTTTATGCAAGCAGTGCAATGGTTTATGGAGGCCCAAAGTTCAATGACCCTCTGCGGTGGAACTATGTGGGCGCTTGGAAAACTCTTCTTGGAGGTTTGGGGTCACGACACTGTGACCGCCAACCGGATGGAGGAGTATCAGAAATGGCCACTGAGTCCTAAACTAGTGAGGAGATGTTTGCCACTGTCATGGATCCTTGATGCTTGCTTGCGACACTTGATCGAGTTGCGGTGGTACCATCCTGCTGTCGGTGGTCGGTACGTTGACACTGTCGATTTGCAAAAGCACAACAGCCCAAGCAGAATGCCTCTGAGTCGTTTGCTTTGAGTATGGATTGAGTCCATGAGTCTTAGTCCTAGTGCCAACACCCTGGCGGTGAGAAAAAAAGAACCCGTCTAGATTCGATGCCAATGAGCCATGCCTTCAAACACAAAAGCCTGGACCTGCCCGGACAGTCCCTGCGGCTTGCAGGACTAGCATATACAAACATACACGTTGTTCCAACTTCACCAAGGCTCATATTTCTGATGGTCTCCTTGGCCCACTCTTCACAGTCGTACTGGTGTTTCCGCTCGAAATGTACCAGCATCAGTCGCTTGTTGGAGCCGACATGCTCACAAATTTGGCATCGAAGCTTGGCCCCAACCGGGACCACCCTCCTTGTGCGATCATGCTGCAAGACGTCTAGTGTCTATGAAGCTCTGACAGGGTAGCATCTCAAGCTACGGCAGATACTTCACATACGAAATGGCTCGTACGAAAAGAAAGCTACCTCACGAGATGCTGATGACAAGTCAAAGGTCTCGTCCATAAATTGTTGCAGTTTTTCGTCGTCATCGCGCCATGGCAGGACCGACTGCATCATGTCGTCTACAACGCCGCCATCTTCCATCATCTCGCCCACCCACATGTTCAAGAACTGGTCCATGTCAAAGTCTTCCAAGTCCATGTCACCGGACTTGTCATACTTCAGACGTTTCTTGTCGTCGGAGAGGATGGAGTAAGCCTCGGTGATCTTCTGAAACTTGAACTTCGCGTCAGGCGACGGGTTCTTGTCAGGGTGGTATCTCAAGGACTTCTGGCGGTAAGCTTTTTTCAGCCTCAGCTTCTGACATTTGCGGCATTTTGTGGGCCCAAATCACATCGCTAAACTGCCGGCGCATAAACAGCAACCAAGATGCTCGTCCGCCTTGGCGCCTCTGGGCACCTGGGAGGCCAGGAGGTAAGGGACGCTGTGGGGCCCCATGTTATAACTTGGGAAGGCTGAACTCGGAGACTCACTCCTTGGGAACTTACTGACTCAGAGGGTCCACTCTGCGCAGGGGCTCTCTTCATACTCCCAGCACCCAAGAACACGTGGCAAAACCCTAGGAACACTGCAAAAATGAGGGCCCCAAGGTGTCCCACACTCTTTGGAAACAAGTATTGGGATTGCAGGCCAGTGGCTCCAAGGATCTTGTAAAGATCTTTCTCCTCCAGGAAGTCCACCTTCCGGTGTTTTGCAAAAAGGCCGTGCTACTGGGAATCTATCAGCTGCTACCAGCTTCTGTTGAAACAGCAAGCGCCTCATCAGGATTGACTTCCCCAGCCATGGCCTTCGGAGCCCTGATTTTTGAGTCACTGCCACCACTAGCTCGAGCCTTGAGATTCAAGGACTTGTGCAACAATCGAGAAAGCATGTACGACTTATGAATCTGCTTCAGCTGCACTGGCTAGTGGCTGGAATCAAGGATGTGCTGCTTGTCAAATCATAGGAACGACTGCTTTGAGACGTGTCAGCTTCGGGGCGCGGGCGTGAACCAAAACCGAAACTTGCCGGTGGCTGGCTTGGCTTAGCGTTGCTTGGCTTGCCTGTTTGTTGGCTTGCTCTCATTGATGGCCTACACTGGCAAGCTTAGAATTGACAATGTGTCCAATAGCCACAGGCCGCAACAACCTTGGCAAAGCCGGATAGCGCTGCGGCTTTGCGATTCCATTCTGCAACCTAGGCCAAGCTGATGACTTCAGACTCAGAGAGAGAGAGAGAGGGAGAGAGAGAGAGAGAGAGAGAGAGAGAGAAGAAAGTTGGGAACTGGCAGGATGCTCGAAACATCTTGAAAGTCTGGCTTCTGAAAGCGGCCGATTTTTGAATCCCAGCTTGCAAGGCGCAAGTGCCAAGTTGGAGCAACTACAGCCACGCTGACTGCACCGGCAACGCCATGGCATGCAAACAGATAAGTTCTTCGAATGCTGCAACCTATTGGTACATTTGTGTACTTTTTATAACCTTGGGTCTCTGTCAGCCACATTACGTCCAACATTGTCCAGGATCACCCCAGGAAGCCAGAGGGAGCACAGTCAAGTCTCACTGCTGAAGACTTGAAGGCTCAGTGGCTTGGCACTCAGCATGAAGAAGGCTTTGTAAGGGCACTAAACTCACTAGACTGCAAGCCGGTCAGACAGGCCGTCTCAGCAGCACGTTGGGTGGATCAGCGCGGCATTGTGGCGACAGATGCAGCCCTCACATGGCACCATGAGTCAGTCGCAGGGGCGCAGCGTGCAAACGCAACATAAGGCATCAAGAAGAAACAGGGAGCGAGCGCAAGACGGAGAGATAATTACGGATTCAGGTGGACCAGACCCAGAAGAGCCTAATTCAACGAGGAGATGTCAGGTTGCTAGGGAAATCCCCACCCCGTTCTTCTCTCGAAAAAGAATCAGATGAGTTTCAGCCACAGAGAAAATTCAAGGCCATCGCGCAAGCCGATGTTCCTGCCCTAGCGACTCAGAGCTGAAAGCGCATTGAAACCTCAAACCTGCAAGGCCCCTCCGCTTTTCAACGTGTCACTACAATTCTGACCACACTACTGAAAAATGCGACCACCAATCGATAGTGTCCTTGGCTAAGCTCTGGCGCAAGATAGAAACACATGGGGAACGCATTAGGCAAACGCGGGGAAAAGACAGAAGGGCTTGCACTCGCTGGCCATCCAACCCAGTGTGAACACCCCGGCCTGCTGGCACGCCAGCGGGTATGTTGGCTGCCTCACGTTCGGAAGCCGCATGTGTGCAAAGGATGTCGCGCAAAAAAGCGCCCACTGCTCGCATAACTCTCTGCAAGGAAGGGCTTGCTTAGATCTCGCATCCTGACCGGTAACGTCCATAGTGCTGCCCAGACAAGGCTCTGAAAAGCATCAGCGGCCACGATGGCCACATCATCTAAGGCTATGCCCTCACCACCTGAGGCAGTGTCCGTAGGCTTTACCAAGTACCAGAAACTGGCACATCGAAGACAGATAGGCTAGCAAGGAGTGCATCGACGACCCTACACGCCAAAGTCCAAAACTGAGGCGGGATGCCTCGGGTGAAATCGCCAAGGATGGCAATCCGTGAGACGTTTGTCCTGATCTTACGACGTGCAATTCTGGAGCTGATGGACATGCAAGAAAATTGCCAACTCCGGCTCATCTTGCATGATTCCCTTGCGAGTTTGATGATGGGTGCGTTGATGCACTCAGCGCGTCAAAATGTGACTGCATGTCCAAGGATCAGAATGCCCGCAATTTGGCAGGCCGTCGCATATTCGAAGTCTGCGGCAGAGTTTAGGGGGTCATATGACCACCTGGTGACGGCTGATGTGTCACCCTGTGTGGGGTTGCAATTGAGTACTTGGTGAGATGCTTGCAAAATTATGCTGTGCATTCCCTTGCCTACCATTCTCGTTCAGGAGAAACTCCATGTAAACTTCGTCCCCATTCCATCGCAGAGTGTCGTCAACAAATCCTTGCAAGACAAAGCCGGGACAAACTGCTGTTCACTGAGTAGTCGCTGCTCATGAGTAACCAGACATAGTGCAAGCAAGTCGCGAATGATGCGAGCGCCATGGCCAGTGTCACACGACCTGACTGCACATTCTTCTGGCAAGTGCTCAGACACTTCATTTTGTGAGCAACCCTTATGTCCAGAATGCTGAGATGTATGCTTGGAAGGCGTCTAAGTCACAGACTCGCATTCAATAGTTACCCAGTCCAAAGGTTCATTCCTCGGAGCACAGGCTCCAGCAACGCGGCGTGGCTTGTCACGATTTGCTGCTGGATTTGTTCTGTCCTCTATGGCCTCACTCCCATCCACTCGATATGGGTTCCATGAGGTCTCGTGCAAACAGCACCAATGCAGAATCTCAGTCACAGGGTGGAGATGGGTGGAGCGTGCAAAAATCTTGGAAGACCATCTTGAACATTCTGGAACACTGACGAAACGCCGAAAGCCAGAAGATGAAATTGGGAGACACCAGTCAGACTCTTGAGCCGAAGCAAGGGTCCCAACGCCCGAAAATCTCTTGTGGGCAATTGTATGTGTATGTGGCCTCGATCGAGTTGCTACTTCTTTGCAGGGTGAACTCTTGCGAGCCTAGCGTTTCTGGCTTCACGTAGTCCGCTGGCGTCGGGATACTGCTCCACGCTCTTACAGTATCAAAGCTATCTGGGCGTCACGCGTTGGTGCGTCATTAGGGTTCTCCAGCCTATGATCAGGCCGAGCATCAACTCGAGAAAGTTGCCGTACTGCGAGCGGAAGCGAAATCGCAAAGTTCCTCCATAGGCCACTGCCAGTTCCTGCGCACCACGTAGGACGCCTTCCTAGTTCATCCCTGCCTCACCCTCCCACCCGCACTCACAGTTCTCCAGCAGATGGATATGCAACATGTTCCCAACCATGCCTAAAACTCACTGAGACCAAGACTTCTGCCAAAACAACACGCTTACTTGGCTCCCAGAGACGCGGCATCCGCGCATGCAGTGCAGGACAATCACTCACCCCTGTTCTGTAGAACTCTTCCAGCCTTCTTGTGGAAAACGCTCGGCGAAGCCTCAAAGTACCATTTGGCCAGGTCAATGCCGGTGGCGAAGTCCAGGCTTTGAACTTCGTCAGCCCCTGACTATAACAACCCTCGCGACAGGTTGTGCCCTTTGATGAAAAATATGCATTTCCCCATATCTGCGAACCCAAGGCACCATAAATATATTCATTGAGTCCGCCCCAGGAGACGGCCTGGTGCTTGACCCCTGCTGCGGGCGTATTGCCTCGTATCAGAACATGACCAGTGGACCCAGTGGATCTGGAGGAGCTGTCTGTCATGTTGCACCCTGTACAGACAAGGCGTGAAAACTTCTTAGTTGCTGCGCTATCAGCCTCCAACAACTTCCAGCTGACCGGACAAGGTCCAGCCATCGGCATTATTTGCCTCAGATGCCCAAAACAGCCTGCCTTGAGGCACTCAGTGTACATTTCTTACTTGCACTTGTTACTAAGCATGGAATGGCTAGCACGCGGTGACATCTTGCGATACATACTGTAACTGTAAGGGCATGGCCAGACTGAAGTCAGAGCCAGCAATTTGGCGGTGAGGGTTCGCCTCAGCATCTGCAGGTGCACGGTCGCATGATGCCTTCTACATGTTCAACACGTCATGCCGTGCAACGCTCCTTGCACATGACTCAGTTCGTCTCCCATTCGCTGATCCTGAGGCCTCTTCTAGCACAACGAGCCCTGGTTCCGACTGGACATCGATGATGGTGTCACCATCTGACCACAAAACAGAGCAGCAGGATTGGCTGGCACAAAGTTGCACTATATACACAACTGCATAGCAAGCCCTACCTTGACTAAGTCCAATCAGTGACCTTACCACGAAGGTGAACCTTAGCCGGGCAAGCTACTGGAACAGCAGCGTTTGTAAGAGTGGCGAATCCAAAAACATCTTCCTGATCTGACAGACTCTCATGTGCAATCACTTTTCTGCTTAGTCTGTGCAGCTTCGGCACGTAGTCCAGGCATTGGGGGTGGGCCATTTGTTTGCCGGCGGGACGTAGACCACCTGCGTCTTTGGGTCTGCCATGATCTCTTGAGGAACAACTGACTTGAAGGGTAGCAGTGAGATTCAGCAACCGCGGAGGGCATGCCTGCAGTCACCTTACACAAGCCCTGCTGTGGTGGACGTTCCTTTACCCCGCGCGACTCCAGGGGCAAGCTGTCTCTCATTTACGGGTACCAAACTCAAACCGCGCCTGGTGCTTGGGATCCGTAACTAGGAAAGGGAGCAAATGTGGTCCAATGGGATCCGGCGCCTGCACTGAGCACAAGTTTCCATGCTACAAGTGGTCTTCCGTGATGGACGTGTTGGACTGACCCATTGTGATCTCCGGCCCGGGACCTGTAAAGGCTCGGAACCAAAGCTGCGAAAGTTTGGAGAGGTCTCGTAAAGCCTGCAAATGTATTGGTGCACAACACGCTTCCTTCGGATGTGTTCTCAAGCAGCTGAGGCAGCAGCAAGCCCTCCTCTGGAAGCGTAAGGACATAGTAACTCAGATGCGCAGGAATCCCTGTCATGAACACCAAAGGGAGTAGAAGTTCTGAGTTTTAGCGTCAATGCTGTTTGCGTGTAGTGTAAACTTCTCACGTGGCACCAATTAGCATGAGCATTGCCAAATGCCAGATGCAGCCGGGCTTCTCGAGCGCAGTCGGACTGCCGACAAAGCCCTCCAGTACGCAAACCTAAGTTGCAGCTGCATTGTTTAAATGAGGCTCACGCACTGCAATCGTCCGCCTTGCAGGCTACAAACCGCATGACTTCCTACAAACCGCCATCGGCAGCATCAACTCTTAATCGTAGCTGGCCTTTCCACACTTACTGTTGAAGGGAGATGCTGTACTTTAAGGATCTTGGGTGTGCAAGATTTTCTCCATCAACAAAATCTGTCGCATGAGAGCTTCCAGCAGCGGAAAGGTTTAGCAGGCTCAAAGAATCTCAAAGATGACTTTCAGGTCGATTCTCTTGCAAGAACAAGCCCAGCTCGTTGTTGACTGAGGAAAACTGTCTTTCGCCAGCTCTGGGACAAATTTCGTTACAACTATGCTTGAAAAGTCAGCTTTCTTTCTTTCATTCGGGCGTTGAAGAGGGCTGCGGGCTCTCAGGGACTTCCCCCCCACCCCGGTGCGAATCCCCATGTCATTGGCTGCTGGGGGCCCAGAACAACAAAAACACTATGGGAGAGTAGACTAGAACGTGGGGTTGACAATGATTTCACCTGTTGATATGACATTCCGATAGGTGGGGGTTCACCCTTTTTCACGTGAGCGCCGGCTTTTATTTATTGCCTGGGCCTTAAGCGGTATTTCTAATCCACGGCCCCTCATCTCGTTCGCCTTATATCTCTTCTTGCATTGTACTTTGACAAAATTACCTGATTTCGTTTGCAATGTTGGAAGACGCGCAGGCTCTTACTGCAAAGGGAACTGTGGCCTATCTCGTTCAATCCAGGGCCCCTATCTAGTTCCCAGAGGAACGCTGAACCCAGATGCAATAATACCAACTCGCCTAGGCTTCTACTCTCTAACGTAAATAAAGGCGGCTGCTCATGTGATGCCTGGAATGCTTTGCATCATTACTCACTGTCAGCACATTTTTTGAACAAAGCCTGGCCATGTGCTACAAGTAGATGGAGCCTCAGGATAATATGTTGTTGAGGAATGTGACTTGTGAAGTTGTTGGTGATGCTGCAGCCAGGCCGCCCACTACCATGTTGTACTACCTCTCTCTCGCTCCCGCTCATGTGCTCAGTCCAGCTGTCCAACCCGCAGCACACAAAAAACTGCCATAGAGGGAACCTGCCGCCATGTCTGCTTCCCTGCAGAAGAAAGCCAATTTCCTGCAGCCTTCATTCGAGCGCCATGGGCACAGAAAACCCTAGACACCTCTCCCCCATCTGACCCAGCTTGTCCCAATCTTCAGTTCTTGGCCTGTTGTCTTCCCGTGCGTTGATCGGATGCGCGGATGACTTTTTTGGGAGTTGGTGACCGAACCTCATGCTTACCACCATCTTACATGATCCTTGCTTTTGGACCAGGTGCTGTTGGCGTGTCCGCGTTCACGGCACAGGCTGTATGCCTGGCAATGGGGTCCCTGACATAGGACTGCAGCTCGGAGAAGATCTCTCCTGTCCTTACAGCAAGGATGCCGCGGCCCCTGCCGGAAAAGTCCTACGCGGCTAATGCTTCACGAATGGTGGATTATCGTATTTGGGGGCCTATGCCTACTTAAATTAGAGTGACCCCTCCTGGCCACGCACAGAACAACCCTGCACTCGCCACACAAGGCCGCTGGACCCGGTAGCAAGTAGCCGAGCGGCTCGATGGCTGTGCTTGGAGGCCAAAGCAAAGCCCCAACAATGCAGCGGGGCCACATGGCTCGCAATGGCTGCAAGCAGCAAGTTCTGTGGAATCCAGGTCTTTTGGGGTCGGTCGTCACCTGGCTCGCTTGACGGAAACACACGCATATATGCCTACGCATGAATGCTGGTGTTGCCTTGATTCAAGCTGTTCTCATGAAGCAAGCACTTTGCTGACATGCAGAGCCGAGAATGAGCAGCCAGGAGTTTGCTGGAAACACAAAGTGCCGGAATAGGTGAACTCCACTCCTGGTCCGGGGTCTGTAGCTATCTGAGCCCGCGGCTTTACCCTGTGGCGTGACCTTAAATCAGTCAGGCGGAATGCATGCAGGCAGTGCAACTTAGCCTGATAGAGCATGCAAATGTACCTCCAGAAACTGCACGCGTCCAAAATGGTCTGACGCTGCTGAGCTGCACCAATGATGGGCGCGTTTGCAGTTTCCACGAATCGCGCCAGGTCCTCCACCAGCCCAGCATCACAGACTGCCTTTTTTGCTGCATTCCTAGAGGTGTGCCACAGGATCCTGCTAGTACCAAGGTTTTCTCTGCAAGGCATGAGAAGCCTAACCATCTCACTCGGATGCCTCGGTTCAAGCACACAGTTGCACTCAGAATGTCCTCTGCAATGCCTCTTTGATCTGCCATGACCTGGGCAGCATGTTTGTTTGTCAATGTTGCGCAAGCCGCAACAGGCATCCATGACGAGAAGCTCCGCTACAACTTGCAGTGAGTCTCGGGCCCTGTTTAATTCAGTCACATCCTGGCCCACGCAGAGAACGCCAGTGACCTCCATGGTAAACTGCTGACTGAAAGCTGGAATCACTTTCTGCTCCAGTCTCATTCCTCCAAACTGATATACTACATTATTGTACATTATAGTAGACTTTATAATACATTCTCGTAACAAGAAACACAATTGTTTGTAGTGTTGGCCCCTAAAACCCTTTGAAAAATATTAATATATAGGGTCCCTTATTCAAGCCATTAGGGAAAAGATTAAATATCCCATGGGCCTACCCTAAACCCTAAATCCAGAACCCTAGATCCTAAACCCTAAACCCTATAGTAGTTTCCATTTTCTTTTCCATTATCCCCTATATAACCCCTATATAACCTTTATATAAACCCTATATAAACACTATATACACACTATATAAACCCTATATAAACCCTATAATCCCAGGGGCCTACTCAGTTTGTCTGCAAAACACACAGACTGCTGTGTTGGTCGGGAAGGCCTCGCCCTGCTCACCCAGGCGAGCCGAGGCATTGAGCCGCACTGTGCGGCGCGAGCCTTCCTGCTGTAGCAGTAATACTATAGTAGTAAAAGTAATATTACAGTAGTAATAGTAATATTGTTGTAGTAGTAGTAGTAGTAGCAGTAGCAGTAGCAGTAGCAGTAGCAGTAGTAGTAATCCCAATAGTAATAATACTAGTAATAGTAAGAGGAACAGTTATAGTTATAGAAATAGGAATCCCAATAGGTGCGTAATTAAGGGCCATGTAGATTTTCGGTGGGTGCGGTGTTATGTGGTCTTGATGGTGGCCTCTATTTTGGTCCTTGTTTTTACGGTGAAAGGCTCGAATTCCAGAGCATTGGCTTGGGCCTCAAGGCAGGTCCGGTAGGTTTAAGCCTTTGTCTGATTTCGAGGGTGCTAGAAGATTTCTTCTGTCCCTTGTGGGCCTGTATGTTAGGAGGCGCTGGCTTCTTACACTGCGTTCCGAGGGGGGTGTTGGAGGGCCAATCAACTCTGAACATGGACACTTGGCCGCGAGTAAGGGTCGCAAGCTCAGAACATCTACATTGGCGTGATACTGATTCATCAGACTCGCACCTGCTCCGCGATGCAAAACTCAAAATTCTCCACCTCAGCAAATGCTGCCAGAACTCTGCACAAAGCTGCTGGCATCTCATCATACGTTCCCACTTCGGGCGTCCTAGCTGCACTTTCTTACTTGCTGAAGGGCATAACGCGCCTTCTCACCGTGCAGTGCCTGCAGAAGCATGTCGGCGACATCCTGCAGCTCACCAGCTCTTCTGCAATCTATGGCTGGGGGAATGCAGTGTATCTGAGCTTCATCTTGGATAGGTGACAAGCTTACGGAAAAAGACTGCGGTGCAGGGAAGAGTGGTGCGAGTACTGCAGAGCACTGGGGTGCAGAGATCAGTGCGCAGCCATCTGCCACGATGTGTAACTGTCGGCTGAAGCTTACATGCAGTTGCAATCAGGCGATAAGCTTCAGCATGAACATGCTGTAGTGGCCATTACTGGAGGACAAGTTGCGAGGACCACAGCCATGCCTTCTGGTGCTCCTTCAGGATGAAGTTGTTCACTAAGCCTTTACCCAGCGTATCCTGGCACGGGCTCATGGCAGACAAGCCCAGGTAGACAACTTTTATTATTGGCAGGCTTTTTAACTGCATGCCCTCTGTCTGGAAGCAATTGTCCGTTGCGTCCGCTCAAGCTCTTGATAGGCAGTTCTGGGCTCACAGTCCTCCTTGGACCAACCCGACAGCTGAGCCTGAGCAAATTTCAGTGCATGTTCGCGGCTGTCCGTGCGTCTCAACTTGTTTGGGACTTCTGGCGGTCTTTCCTTGCACCTCACTCACCCTGCCCGCCCGCATCTACCTCGAGTTTCTTGCCAAGCGGTTTTTCCTGCGGGCAACCCATTTGATTGTCGCAGCGTATCCTCACCATTCCTCACCTGTCCTGAACAGGCTACTGAACCCAGGCCTGCTTGGCCACACAGCATTCATCTCTAAAGTACGGTACTGCTTTTCAACTCCAAAGTGCTGATCGGATTGTTGGCTTGCTATCTTGCACGGCGTGTGGATTGTCTTTGATTTCTTTGGCTCTGGTGTTTGACACTTGCAGGTCTTGGCTGCTGAAACAGTTTAGCTCAGCAACATTGTCATGGCAAGTGTAAGGCAGGGACTATGTGGTTGTTCCATTCATTCACATTGCCAGCCGGATCAATGCCGACAATGCAAGCATGGGCAGTCTCAATGAGCCTGCACGAACCATTTTCTGATCCACTGCCACTTCCATTCAACCGCTTCAGGAAGCCTTTTCAGGTCTTCCGCCATGCGCGTAGCCTCTTGCATGCTGTTCCTCGGATGCAGGTCCATGCAAGCAACATCTCATAGATTCTCATAGCAAATAAACCCCTCATCTGGAGGACAACACGTGGCGGACTGTCCGTCGACTACCCCGTTCACCACATCTTGCAGCGGTGTGAGATTTGCTGGGGTTCTCGCTTGATGCTGGTCAAATCCTGACCACAGGCAACAACACCTGACAGTGCCAGAAAGCGTCTTACACATATTGAAGCCAGAGAGGAACACCCAATATACCTGCCTGCAACCTCGCCCGCCGTGTCTCGGAAAGTCGCTCCGCTCATTCGCAGGATGGCCTCTCAGCTGGGGAATTCAGGTAGTCGCAGAAAATGCTGCCGATTGAAGGCTTGGATGGAATAGAGCAAGCCTTTGAATCATCCTTGGTGCGAATCGTTATCTCAAATTCGCCCAAGTCCTGGCATCTATCATTGACTGCGATACATGCCACGAGTGACAGCTTTTCACTTGCTGGTCCGCACGATAACCGGAGTGTCCTCATGGCCATGCAGGACTGCGAGAACCATGGCAGCTTCAAATTCCTGGCCATGCAGAACTGCATTTTGATCAGGTAAAACAATCCGGGCTGCATTGGCTTCCCAAGTACCAAAAAAATGTCTCCCTGGAATGCAGTACACTTTTGTGTTGTTGGCTACTGGTGATGCAAAGCAGCCGTGCCAGGCTTGGCGAGCTTCCAGAATGAAAGCACCCCACTCAGATAGTCACATTGCCTCGATGCCCTCGACCACATAATCCTCAAGCAAAAGTCGTCCCAACACCTGATGGCAGTCTGGTCCCCTGTGATCATGGGAGCACTGGTCACATGCAACCGCATGGCTCTAGGCAAGCCACCTCCTGGCGCGTGAAGCCAGTAATCGCTGCAACCTGCAGGAGATCTAGCAGCTCGAAGTGGCCCATCACACAAGAGGGCAACCACGTGAGATCACATCATGCATTCCAGCAGCAGCCAAACAGATCTCACAATCTCCATCTGACATCATCTGACATTCCAAAGGTGAAAAGGAACCTATTTAATGGTGCCTGCCTTGTCATTCCACTCAACGACCTCACCCTGGAGGTTCACCTCATCTAAACGTGCAGTGGTGTCGGAAAAAGGCATGCTAAAAACTCATGCTAAAAGGTTACGTCATCTCGTGCAAAGGCAGCCAGGAGGCAGCAAGGATTGGTGCTTGCGCGCCCTTTAGTAGACGTGCCATGTCCTGCGGCGAAGTGCGTGCTTCCCTTGCAAAGTCGCATCCCGCATGCGAGTAAACCCGTCAAATGGTCTGCCAAGTTGAGTCGAACTTTTTCATCGCGCGGTTGGCTCTAAACTAAGGACGACGGAGATGCTGCAGATCTTGCCGCACGTCGTGACTGGTGCGCCTGACTAGACCCAAACTTGCTGATACATTATCGCATGAAATCGTCTGGAGCGCCACTTGAAGGCTCACGGCGGCAATGAAGGATGAAACTGGTCAAGGTTTTGGTTCTGCCTCTATCTTTCAGGGCCCCTGGTACATGAAAGGTTCTCCGGAATGCACAAGGTTTGGGGGTCTGGGGTTTCAGTTTCAGGCTTCTCTTTCTGACTTGCGTGCTCAGTTCTGGCTTCAATGCAAGAGTAGCCCGCAGACTGAATGGCCCTTCATCATTGCTGAGTTGGGTTTTTGCAAGCATTGCTTCATGTTTTGGAGCGTGGGGCTGCGAGAATCAGAACAAGTCACATCACCTAGGCTGCAAGCCGAGGGTGGTAGTATTGGCAGCAGCAACAACAGCAGCGGCATTAGTACTAGGAGGCGCAAATGCCACAGCGCAAGAACTCGTGTTTTATCATGTTTTAGCAAGCCGGTCAGCTGCGTTGGAGTGAACTTCCTCGGCTCCGTCACGAAACTTCATGCGAGCATCGATTGCTACGCAGATGCAGCGTTCCCCAAGCTGGCCAAGCTATGAAGCGCTGGGCTTGTCGCCTGGCCTCAGTCGGTGTCCACGCAGGTCGCGCTTGTGGAAGCTTGGAGCTTCGCAGGCTGTGCAGCCCAACTGTTCTGAAGACAAGGTCGGCTAGGGCTAGTTCTTCATGGTATCCTTTCCTTGTCGGGCACAAGGAAGCACTTGCAAGGGAGGCTGAGGTCTGCAGTCTCTAATCCGGCTGAGGCTTCTTTTTCGCGTGGCCTTCCAAGATGTCAGCCTTCTGCACTTGGATGTGTTGAAACGCAGCTTTGGCAAGCTCATGGCGGTGGCTGTTCTTGTCGGGGTGCCACTCGAACAACAACCGCCGCAGCGCACGACGTCTCTGCGAAGTTTCCCTGAGACGCTTGATGGCCGCAAGCTCGTCATCAAGTGCAGAGAGCTGCTCCTCAAGTCCGGGACCTGGATTGCGCCACTTGAGCTCAGCAGGGCCGATGGCCCGGAGCGCCGCCAATCCAAGAACTCCCAAGGCAATCTGGCTGCGCCTGGGTTCACCAAGAAGCTCTAGCCCCCTGAAGAGCCCAGGAGGATCTGCAAATCCATTCTCCGTCACACCCTGCAACGAGCATGCAGCCAGTAGGGCTGCAAGCTCGCGCCAGAAAGGCTTTCGGGAGAGCAGCCTTGAGCACTCGCTTGTGCCAATCTCAGCAACTTTAACCTTCACAAACTCCAGCACAGTCTTGCCATCCTTGTCCTCGGTTCTAGCACCAGCAACATTAACATTGCTTTTGGGACCGGGTGTGCCTTCTGTACTCCAGGAATCCTCCAAAAGTCACAACACCCAGCTATCTTCATTTTCGGTATTGTGCCAAGTCACACGCGCGCGTGGGTCGCCATGTGCTAGAAGCAGGTCGCCAGCGAGGTGCAGTGTAGATTGAGAACCTCGTCCTGTTGAAGCCAGGTAGGTTCTCAGTTTGTGCGCTCTTGTCTCTTTGTCTTGCTAGAACATGCGAAGAATTAAGGCAATTCCGCCTGCAGCTGCTGCCTCACAAAGATCATGCAGCGGACGCCGGCCCTTGTCATCCTGGCAGCACGCATGTGACATGGTGGTTTCCTAGATAAGGGGGGCCCAAATACAGACCCCAACATACTCTAATCATCTTGAATCCTTGTTACGGGAAGACCCCAAAAGGGTACCCCTAATTCCCGGAAGCCCCCATATGGAAACTATTCAGTAACCCAGTACACTGGCTCTGACAAGCGACCCAGGTGTTTGCATCCGCTGGCACGCTGTCTTGAAGCAGCTCCCGCACCCGCCTGAGATCTCGCGTTCCATTGGCATGAGGCTTCTCCCGTACATTCTAGAAATGCTTGGAAAGCATCGCTTTGCGTTCAGGAACGCCCCCGCATTACAACGAATTGAAGGAAATACTCACATGAGACATGAGGCAAACTGAAAGAAGCCCCTATGTCTGCCCCCTCAGCCAGCAGGCATCACATCACCGCGGCGTACGGCGGCGCGCAGAAGAGCATTGGCCTGGCATCCCTGGTCCGGCTGCTGGGCCCTGCAGACAGAAGATCTTTTCAAGAGCGCGTTCACATGAAATCCTGCTCAAATTACAAATCCAAGCATTTATCTTGATGCTTTCTCGTGAGGCGAACATGTCACGAGCTGCTTTCATACCACTTTTTCACTGAGCACTGGAAGCACAAAATCAAGCACGACAGCACCGTGGTAGATGTGAATTCTTGCCTGGGACAATCTGGAAAGAAGCCAAAGGAGATCTCCTTCCTTTCAGCTCGAAAGCATGTGCTGATGCAGACCTGTTTGCTTTTGGGGGCGCAAGATTGCAGATCTCCATGCCGAGGGTCTCTCTGGCAGACGGCCTCTCCAGCCACGTGCGGACACAGTTTGGACTCTTGTTGGTGAAAGGGTCCTCAATGCCAGAAGATTGTCTTGCATGCATGCAATGCTGCCACATTCTTTATGCCATCCTGGAAGGGGCGCAGCGTTGCCAGGAGGTCAGCAGTCGAGATGCCTAGGATGGCCCATCGCAAGCCGAATTTCTTCAGTTAGGCATGAAAGCTGGTGTCCCAAAGCAGATGGCACGCAGGTAAAGGAGTGATCTATACCAAGGCAGGGAATACAGCATCGTTTGAAAACTGTAAATTTTCTGCTTTCTGTGGAAGCAACGATAAGATAACACGTCAGCATTCCTTCACAGGCTCTGCATAGCATGCACCATAAAGGTGTTACAGGCAATGTGCAGGCACCAAAACTTCACCTACGGCATTTAGCAACCCCACTGCTTCCCGCCACACAGACTCGTCCAAGCAAGGGCCTAAGACAAGGACTGAGACTACCAAAGCTCTGCGATTAGAGGGATGACTTAATGGCCTAGGGGGCCGTCTAGCGAACTTGCCAACAAGCTGCACGGCATATCATGAAGAAGGCCTGCCTCGTCGTACACGTTGAAACGCAAAGCCTGCAAGCGAGAAAGACGTCTAAACCAACTGATTATTCAGCGGACTGAGACTCACCAAATCACCAAGTCGTTAGCATATGAGTTTGATGCAACTTGAATGGCACGTGGGCAACAGAAACACCAAGACTGGATCGCAAAGCCCCAGCCTGCCGGATGGGCCCAAAATCCATGACATCGATGAGCCGGTCAACTAGCCAGAATAGCACCTGTGAAGACACCACAAGCTGACCCACATGACGCATCTCCTGTAACATCAAACTGCCCTGAATCGACTGATGCAAGGTCCCAACTGCAGTCATTGGCCAAGCTGTTCCCAGCAAAACTGGGAGACCCTGGCAACCACCGATTTCGGCCTTTGGGTAGACATCATGGCGGAACAATCTACCACCTGACAAGACGGGCTCGCAGGCATGGCACCATCGACTCACCACACACAACGGCGTGGTGCAAATTGCCTTTGATGCTGTTGGCAGAAATCCCGGGGCTGGAGGCGGACCTCCAACATACTCTCAAAAGTATTAACGCTAGTCTATGCCTTGTTCACAGTCAGATTGACAGATCTCCCATCCTTCCGGTCAGATCTAGCAGCTGTGTCCGACGAGCCGGCATCGGGGACGAAGCTTGGAGCATAGCCACGAAACAGAGCCTGACCACAAGACCCGCACTGACACCGCCGGCACTCCATCGAAAAGCGCCTCGCTCGTGAACCACCCCACAGGCGCAAAATGCTGTAGAGCTCCTCCAGCCTGCATAGGTCCCGCGACCGGCCCATCATGGTGCTGTTAAAAACAGGAAACCCGAACTGATTCAAACATGCAGGCTAGCCGCCGCAGCAGTTCACTGGGCGAGTCTCCAACATAGCGCATGAACAGCAAAGGCCGCGAGCCGCGCACATCGCGGCTGTGGCGGCAGAGGACCCTGTCAGCAGAAGGTTTTCTGGATGGCTTTGCGCTCATTGTGCACAGCTCTGCACCTGAACCGTCTAATCCGTCGATCCAGCTTCCCCTGGTCTGCTTGTGGGTGATGATGTGGGAACCTTAGCACGACGGTGCCGAAAATGATACCATGTTGCGATCAACCTTGCACAGCTGGTTCTGCCGAGGGACGTGTGCATCCATGAGCGGTAGTTGTGAAAAATGATCTTGGGCAGTCCTGCGCTGTCTGATCTCTACAACGCATGCTTCCTCCGTCTGCAGCGCAGGCCCAACGCCAGGTGCCGCTCCAAATCCCTTGATCCGGGCCGACCTGTCAGACTTAAATGTGAACTCCTGGCGGGTGCACGTCGACCATGTCGTTGTAGTGGAAGAAGTTTGCGAAGTCATGCCGCAGAAAATGTAGAACAGCGTCCAGCGATGTCCTGAACTGGCACAAGGACACAGCACAATCTTTGCATTCCTTGCCCTGGTGACCCTCCGCACTCACTGCAAGTGTGAAATGGCGGCTCCCTTCCATCACCAGCAGCTCGTCCATGCACAATCCGCATAAGACGAATCAGCTGGAAGCCGCATGAGCTTAGCAAACACCCAGCCAAGTTTTCCGAGGCTCAGTAGAGAGTCGAATGGCAAATACCTGCAGGCTTTACAGGTTCTCATAAGCAATGTATTCACTAGTGTGCCTCGTCGCATAGAGAATCCCAAACAACTAACTCTGTCTATATACTCGCCATACGAACACTAATCAGAATAATCAGCAATGTTCAATGGCAGGCCGAGTGGCTCAGCACCGTGGAAGTAGGGATAGCCGACCTTGTGGAGAACAATCTAGGGCTTATAGGTGGTCTAGGGACATATAGGGGGTTCTTTAGGGGTCATAATATGAGGATTATATGAGGATTATATGGGGATTATATGGGGATTATCTAGCATTCAGCTTTGAGGTGTAGTGTCGCGCTAACGCTTTGGCATAGCGAAAACAACCACCCGGAATCTGGGAAGTGCTTGTGATGTAGCTTGCTTTATGCCAAGCAGTCAGTTCACAAGAGCATGCTTGGGCAAAACTCTTGTTGTGAGGGTGTAACAGCAGAAAAAACGACAAACGGAACAATTAGCTGTGGCCTCTATTTTTGCATGCGACTGCACCCCTATAAGGCAGGAGCTGGGCAGTGTGCATCACCAGAGCACTCATCAATACCCAGCTTGACGCAGCAGCGGTTCCTTGCACATTCACCACTTCAATCAATCTAATCAGGGAAGAAAGTCCGGTTTTGAGCAGCTAATTTTGTCACAGGCTCCCAAGGCTCACCGGATACACTCCACGGCCTCTACGTCACAAAGATCACTTGCACCGCTTGCACCAAGCCAGATCAGCAGCCAAAGCTTGCAAAGAACTACCACAGCCACAACCAAGCCACAACCAGCTGTATCTTGCAGTAAATGTTAGAGTATACTAGTGAAGTGTACGAAGCAGCACACGCGTTCTCATCCATGAGATATGCAGAGCTCTGATCTCAGTATTGTCTTTGCCTGCCGGCCAGCATGGGCAGTTGCTGAGGCCGTCGGTCCCGCCACAAGCCTGCATGAGCGATGCTGCAAGAGCTGCAAGAGTGCATGAGTCACGTTTGCTGCGGGAAGGCCCGTCCACCTCGGCCAATGCAAGCTCGGAGGTATGCATCGTCATGACCTTCCAGGCTGCAGTCATGGAAACAGAGATTGCCACAAGGCTTCAAACCACATTGGAATGTTGAAGCATTGCTTACACAGACCTGGCAGCTTTGTCTGGGGTGTTCAGCTGTCCATTTGCATCTGGACTGACATGCACTTCGAGTCTTGTCGCGCTTTTAAAACCGCATATCTGCGTACTCTTAGACCAACCATGGTACCGGTTGCTTCAACTGCACTCTTGAGTTCACACTGCCCCGAGCTTCACAGACGGCAGGTTCAGCAACTGGGACCGACTACTCTGCCAACGCGCCTGCCGCGATGCCAGCAACAGAACCTAAGTTGGGACTCCTGCCGCTTCAAGTCAGGACCAAGAAAGGCGATGCAAATAGGCAAATCTGAGTCCAGGCGCTTCCCAGCACTGAGAACCGCAGTCCCACCACAATGTCTGTGCTCGCTGGCCATTCAAACCTTGAGGCTCAGATATCTCACGTCTAAGAGAGCACTCCACACATCCGACGCATCCAAGGCACCACTACCTTTGCTCTGCCCGAAGATAATGACCTCCACAAAATGCGATTGAGATATGAAGCTAGCACTGCAACACGATGCGCAGAAGAACAAAACATGTTGTTCGAGCTCCCCGCCTGGGCACCAACGTCAACTTGACTGTCGCAGCCCTCTGCCCCAGGCGTGCAACAACAACCCAACTCGTCCAACATGGCATGGGCCTCCAGGTGATGTCGTCAGCACATGCGGACTAGCTCTTGACATCGCCTATGTATAACGGCCGAGGGCCATTTGTTTCTGCGCCACAGATGCGGATGCACGCGTTATGAATGTCCAAAGAACTGGCTTCGCCATGCTTGGCCGGCCTGGTCCATGAGCTCCCACCGCGAGGCCAAATGGATCCTGTCGCCTTCCCCCGCCTTGTGCTCACCAAGCACAGCTTTTGTTGATTTGATGTCTTCCTTCCGTAAATACAAGTTTTGTAGTTTCCCAAAATGGGGGGACCCCCTATGGTCCTTATTATGGGGACCTCCAAGATGGTACCTATAATTTTGGGAACCCTAAACACTATATAACTCCCATAAAATATAACCCCTATATGACCCCTATATAACCCTATAACTTTGGGAAACCCCCCTTTTCCGATTACCTCCACTCTCTGCAAGGGCAAGGTTCGCAAGCCGGGCAGGTCGGTACACTTTCACGGCGCAGCTCAGTCAGCAAACCTTGGTCCCCCTAATCCCTGCGCTTGATCAGTAAAGCCCCCTGGATTTATAGTCCCCGTAAGTAGATAGAATCTACCCAAATATCTTAAGGGGGACTATAAAGCAATTTTTGAGTGCCAAATAGGGGGCCAAGACCACTTTTAAAGGCAGAGGCCGTCTTGGGCCCAAAACAAACCCTAGATATCCCTAGATTTCAAATTAATTCTTTTATTCGCTTAGAGTCAAATCCTGAGGTTCTAACAGCTGAAGCCCAAAGTTTGAAGCCTCAAATCCCCAATCATGATGCTGATTCTGAGACCTGAATTGCACAAATTGATTAGGAATTGAACGCAAAAACAGTGCTTCCCCAGCTACCACTTACGGACATTACGTAAGAGGATGTTTCTCTAGACTAGTGGAAATACTCCTGGAATAGTAGCAAATGTCTTCAAGGTCATTAGTTTCGCATCCTTTCGGTAATTGAAATCGATTTTACATCAACAAAAACTTATTCACAATCACATGAAACCTAATCAAAGCCATTTCAATTCAAAGTAAAATCTGCTGAGAAGCTATCAAAATGTAATGAAAACGAACAAGTCGTAATATGAACATTCTTTAACATTTAATGAAAATCAACGCACTATCAAAACTTGATAAAATCAACGTAAAAACCAAGAAAACCAATTTAGAACCAATTGAAACTAGTCGACATTAACTGACTGAAAATGTATTAATCAATTGTCCATCTAAATTCAAATTATCATCAATTCAAAATCGCTTTGAATCTATACGTAATACTTAGCAAGAAGTACTTTTCCTTTTGGGTTCCGGGATCCGTAGAATACGAGTACAGGGGCCCGGCCATTCTTGTAGAGGTCTTGTAGGGGGAGGGGTCCTAATTAACTAAGGCCCTACTAATCAAGAACGCGGATTACTGGCAGTAAAGGTCTGACGTGAAGAGGGTACGTGGAGAGGTCGTCTTGAATGAGTTCTAGAAGCATGATGTCACAAACTTTGGTTGGCGCAGCTTGCGCATGCTGCGCCAGATTTAAATTTTCAAGTGCGACCCATCATGGCTGTCGACTTGGCTGAGTCACCCAGTGCTCCAAGGGACAAGTGCGACAAATGCGATGTGAACCGGGACAAGGCAGCATCAAGCCATCGCCGGCGGAAAAACTGCAACCTGAGTCAATGGCTGATTGCAGAAGCCTCAACATGAGGTTGTGAGTGTGCTGGCCAAAGCCCCTTGTGGCTAAAGAATGTACTGCCTGAGAGCAGAGACCCTGTCCTGCCGTGAAGATTTCCTGAAACTGTCCATGAAGTCCAAGTTGCAATCGCAGCAGACCTCTCAGTGATTGGTACAATATCCATATGTTCCAGAAATGTGCAGGTTGTTTCAACTGGAGTCTCCTGGTTGATGTCTGTTTACTTGTTACCTCACCTTGATTTAGTAGGCTTGCTAGGACTGCAACTGATGACACTGGTTGCATGCGCGCACTTGAGCGAAACACTCTGTGCAGGCCGCCTCCCGAGATGCCACATGGGTTGCTGCATGTGCTTCCTCGCCTTAGATCCAGCTCGCGTCTTACAGGATCCTGCAAGATCAAAAGCATCCATCTGGGAGAGGAAAACTAGATACAGCTACTTGCCAGCGCTACAGTAGCAGGAGAACCTAAACTTTCTGCATCTGGACATGAGCCGCGTTGCTTACTAGATCTCCACTTCTGGCAGCAAGCGCCTGGGCTGCATGTCGGAGCAACTTCCAAGCTTAAGGCGCTTTACTCCAAAGTCAAACCACAGCTCTCAACTCGTATGGTGTGTGCGAACAGAAAACACTACATCTTTACATGACCAACCCAAAAACTCACACAAGTGCAGGGCAAGGCACCAAAGCAAAACCTTCAAGATTTATGAACACTTTCTAGGCCGACAAACCTTTGATTGGGACGTGGTCCGGGTCCTCTCATAATCATGAGAACTTGTTTGCTGCCATGTTCAAGGCCCCGGGAAACCGCACTGAACTACCTCGCATTATTTGCTGGAGACACCAAGGCACCATGTTCTCTGGGCGGAGCTTCTTCGCAACCTCGATGTCTTCTGCGCACACAGTGACGCACCAGCGGCCGCAGGGAAGCAGCACCTAGCAAATGTCAGGCTCCTGCCACTGTCTTGAGAAGCTATGGGCTGCCAGCCAGCAGTGCTACCATGTGTGTTTTGGCTGCACAAGCCAAAGCAAGGCGGCTGCGGACCGCGTCGTCCTGGTGGCCCGTCTACTTGGAGCATGGTGTGCACGGCTCCATTGCTCCATCCCTGAGCATAACTATCTCAAAAGCTCCAACTCCGGGCCACCAACCATCTCAACTGAGCAGAGTTCTACGCTGCCCTCGATCCTCACGGCTTACCTACCATGCTCGAGAAAAGAGTGAGATTCCCAAATGGTGATATGTGAGGAAATCGGGTCAGCCTAGGTGAGAGGGGTGTTGTTAATTTGGTGCATGGGCAAGTTGCAGAGGAAGCTTCCCCCGCTTTTTGTATGGGAAAGGCTTCCCAGGCGAATTGCTTTCCAGCATTGCTTCGCAATGCAAAACTTAGGTTACAGCTTTCTGCGAGGGCACGTTCCTCTTTGAGGATTTGTGCCGAAAGTCATTTAGAATATATCAGAACTGTTGGGAAATCTGCGGTCCCAAAGCACTTTCCAACGAAGCCCTCAGCACAGACCAATTTTCACGGAATTTGTGTGTCAAGGAGCTCAGACGGATTGTTCAGACAAGGCACGATCGTCTCATGTTCGCCTTCTCGGCCCGTAGCTCACTCTGGTTCCCGGGCTGGTCCTCTTCCCCCAAGGCGGAGGCTGCTGCCATTCTAGAGGCAAAGCCATGGCTCTCACGGGATAGACCGGCTGCCGTGAACAGCGTCTGGAGAGAACGCGTTGAAGACCGATGGGACCGTGCGTTAGGTGAGGAAGTATTAGCAAGGACCTGCGCCAGAATGAGCTCCAGCTTAGTCTCCAGCCTCAGTCTGCAGCTCATGACGAAGGAGTTCAAACTTGTCCAGCACAGTCTCCTCATGTTCTTGAACTGGATCTTGGTCACCAGCCGATGCATGTCAATGGCTTTTGCAGGGCCTTTCAGTTTCTGCGCGTTCTCAATGAACTCCTGCATGCAGCATACACGCGTGCACCGCACAAAAAATCAAGAACACGTCTCGCTCCACCCTGTGCCTTCATGGAAATCTCTCCATCTCCATCATCCAGCCTCAGCAGCTAGCAGAGCTTACTAACTCCCAACTCCTTGAGGTCTTCGGTGTGAGGAGAAATTCACGGAAAAAAAAGGATGCCAAGTATTCCCCAGCAACATCTCAAAGAGGCCCAGCAAATCATGGTAATCCAGCTCCTGCAGGAAAGCAACTTATTGAGTTCCCAAGTTACTCTCAACTTGAAACGAACGAAAAGAACAAGGCGATGTATGTGCAAGTTGTTGCAGGTGTTCTCACCATCATTTGAGAGCTGCAGACTCCAGCATTAGTCTTAAAATGCTGGCTACTACATGGTTGCTGTCAAAGATTCCAACTGGCTCATCCAAAACCGAAGCTTTGGTGACTCGATGAGCTGGGCGAACTCATCGAACGTCACCTCACGAGCAAGACCCAAAAAAACATCCTTCTGCCAAAGACGACCTTAACCCAGCACATGTTCAAAGAATCAACTGCGCCTAGCCAAGCAAAAGTCAGTAGTCTTGAACAAGTGGCCATGCCGTCCTCTGAAGTATCCATGGCGCTGAACAGACGCTGCACCTGCCCCAGCTGATTTCCACTTGCAAAACAAAATCAAAATTGAAAGCAGCTCTGGACACGCTGACTCAGGCGGTGAGACCAAGCATGCAACCCTCTAAAGGTCATGAAGAAACACTTCATGATGGCGCCATTAAATTGGCTCCGCAACTTACCTCTGCAGACCCTGCACTGGTCTGCTTTTGTAAGTTTCCTACCTGCAGAGCTCAAGTGTAGCCTACTTACAAAACCTCGACCACTGACAAACTCAACAACCATGCGACATGCGGCGCCTTCTTCGTGTAAAGGGCCCAATCTTTCTGCTTTTGCTTGAAGGCCAGGTCTTCATCGTTCGCTGCCATGAGCAGAGTTTGTTGCACAAACACTGCATTCACAACCTGAGGCTCGGCAGCTGACATGAACAGGGAGGATTCGCAGGGAACATCTCCGCACAAAAGAGGAAACAAATTTACTGCTAGCATGCGCTCAGAATCATTCAGGACTGCGAAACCGATCATACAGCGGTAAACCAGGAAGAACAACGAGAAGGCCTCGTCGACGAAGTCTACAAGCACGCGACATGGTGGTCCCCAGTTGGCAAACAATATCTCAAACATGGTGAGAAAAGTCCGAGTGAAGGTGCCGTAGTAGTCCCAAACCTGCTGTCGGACAGCCAAGGGCTTGGAAGCGTCATTGAGGTATTCTCTGACAAGCGCACTTAGGATCATCCCAGCAATACACTGGATGAAGGTGAGAAGACAGAATGACCAAAAGAGCATGTCCACTGACGAAGCACAGCACTTGAGCAATAGCTGCAATGAATCCATTGACCGAGACATGGTGACCATACGGAAGGCTCTGGCAAGCTTCCCTAAGCGAATAAGGCGAAGGTAGACTGCATCAATGGCCAGGCTGGGCATAAACCACTGGACGCTCGATGTTGCCACCACAATTGCATCGATCCAGTTCATGATGGCCCGCCAGAAGCGGCAGCGCAGCACCACCACGCGAACTGTGACATCTATCGTAAAGATCAGAGTGAATATGAAATCTCCTACCGTGACGACGCGGTTGATTGTCGGCCATGATGTTTCTGGAGGCCATGGTTCTTCATACTTCTCTATAGACCAGCCGGAGACCATACCTGAGGGACTGAGGGCTCGGCATTGTTACGTGTCCGCTTCTCTGCACCCCTTCCAAACGTGTGTGAACCCTTGCTATTTGTGGCGCATACACCAACCGAATCCACTTTGCCACTTCGTTCCGCAAGCAAGTGCTCAATTAGTCACTTGTCCTAAATTTATCCCCTTCCCGCCGAGGTATTGCATTTCCAGGGCCATGAAGAAAACATTCGCAACCAGCAAGGCGGACAGCAGCGACTCAAATTCCGCAGATTGCAGGAAATCGGCGAACCGCTCGAACCTGGAAACCTGCGTCTCAAGCTACTCCAATCTGAAGGGCAACAGTCCCTCTCGAACCACTGCAGCGCGTGTCAGCCAGCACAAGATTCCGAGCCTCCTGGTCTTCCCTGCGATCCCTGAGAGCAGAATTTCAAGTTTGCTGCAAAAACACAGCGAAAAGCTTTGGGTGATAACTATGCGCCAACCCATCAGGCAGAGAACAGTCATTGCCAGTGGAATGAGATTGCATTCGCAATGCGCCTGATGCTGTGAGGGCTGTTCGGATCGAAACGCCGTTGTGGCATGACCGACAACCGAAGTGTCTGCCTGGCAAAGCTTGAGGATCACTACTTCAGAAGCTCTGGCGCACAAGTGCTGGTAGCTCTGGGATTTTGGATGACTTGGCACAAAGTGCCTTATCTAGTCATGTGCTGCGAGCCCCCACCTACTGGGCTCACGAGATGGCGCCGGCTCTCGTGGAGTTGGCGCTGGCTCTCGTGGATTTGGCTCACGAGCGTTTGGCTCACGGACGATAAGCGGCGGACTGCTACTCATTGATCCTGATCCTGGGCTCAAGCTGAAGCAACAGTGTCTGCCCCCAAGCGCTGCTAAATTGCACCGTGGCTCTGGATAATGTCAAGCTTGGGCCGCTGGACAAGATCGGCTCCTGCCCAATGAGTTAACGAAACTGATTCCCAACTGGCAAGATCGGGCAAGACCGAGCAAGAGTTCCAAATGCAGCCTCGAAACATCAGCACTGCTAACTTCTAAGCCTAGTTCTTAGAGGCGCCAGTCCTTGGGCACCTCAGCGGACGGATTGGTCTGAAGCTCCGATCTGAGCGTCGTCATGTCATGCACCTTGGTTGGACCGCGCCTTCTGCTTGCGCTTGAATGAAACATCTCCAACGCAGATAGGGTACATGCTGCGCAGCCAGCAGCTGCAAGAGCCGCTTGAACTCTGCTGAGCAGTCAGAGCCGGAGCTTACATCACTTCCGGGCTCATTGGCTGGCATGGCATCGGGAACAATCGGAGGCTGAGGCTTGATCCTGGACGCTGCAGCCATGCAATAATGAATGCATCTCAACCTTTATGCCACCTGTCAGCGGTCTCAGAGTGCAAAGTTGTGCAAATCAACGCGCAGAGGATCCCGACCAGCCTTAGTCACCTCTTGCCGGAACTCAGCGGTCCGGAAAATGGCCTTGACAAGCAGCAGGCGCAAGGAAGACAATTACTGCTCTACTCATGCTTGCTGAGCTGCCCAATAGCCACCTCCGCCTGGAATTTCCATCACTTCGCGGCCTTTGGGTTTGGGACTCGTTTGCGCCACAAACTGACTCAGGAAGCAACGGTCTGAGTTTGCAGAGTTCTGGCTGCCTTTACCTTCGCCTCGCCGGACTGGATGGATCCGGAGAGCACCGCCCTCTGTCACCCGACGATGGCTGTAACTTGGATGCCACCTGAGATGCGTGGTAGGCCTGCTGGCCTCCCATGCTGATATGCTGATACATTGCTGATAAAGCAAGTTTTGCACTGGCAGTGTAAGGCTATGGCAAGTATTTGAGGTCCATAACGACATCTGCAGGGTTGCGTTGTTATTGCTTGTTGCTATGAGCGCCAGATTAACCAAACTTTGATCGGGAGGTCCTCTAGCTGACCTTCTCCTAGTCCACGCCCTGCAGCTACCAGTTGGTCCAATCATCAGAAATATGAACGCAAAAAGACACCTTACATGGAAAGCCAGCCCTGAAAGGCAAAGACAAGGCTAAAACAAAACAACAGTCCGAGGCACACTAAGCTTATGCGACGACTGCGACGTCCTGCACCATCCTGTACAGTGGGCGTCTTGCACCAGCAAGCACGAAAACCTTGTCCCTGACCATTGCCTCCCAGGGCGGCAGCTGCTGACCTTTGCCGTGGAAGCCTGGGCTGCAGAGACATTGGATCTTACCATTGACAACTTCAGCTCGCACAAAAGTTGCAAGAAGATTTTCGACGGGCGGCTGATCAAGGCCTGTTGCTCAACGCCTCAGCATCCAGGGATGCTCAAACAAAGAGTTTTGAAATAGAATCATAGCCGTGTGATTCCGTTGAGGCCCTAGCGGAGCTGGCGACCTTCCTCTCCCAGCTGATTCAAAATGAGCTGGAGCTGGTCCTGGAGATCTTCGTCTTATTTAGGGCTTAGCTGGCTCTCGCTCTGCAGGAATAGCGGTTTCAATGTGCCTGGAGGACGTGAAGTGTCTGGAAGATATTCATCATGCCCCACTTCCAAGCCTCCTGCAACAGTAGCATGGCATGTGAGATACTGCCGCCTGCTGCTACCACCACCAGGGCTCCAAAACAACTTGATTGTCTTTGGTTGACTTGTGGCTGGTGACAGCAACCTCATACCTTTGATGTCCTCTGTGGTGATGGCAGCATAGCGGCCAGCACGAGGGCCTCTATGCAGAACAGCTTGCATCTGGCTGCAGCTACAAACGAGCAACTTACAAGCACGTACGACGTACGCCCGACCGCACAAAAGTCAGTACTGCTGAAGCCAACCTGGGGTTTGTCATTCAAGGTCTTACAAGCAAAGGGGCAATTTCATATGTGCCTCGAGCTGGCAAATCCTGGCAGCCTAGCCCGCCAAACGCCCAGTCTAAATGCTGCTGAAATATGTTTGGGGAAACCGAGCCAACAGCTAGAATCAGCTAGAAGATGGTCAGGGAGCTGGCCATGCATGATGCCATAAAGAGGATGCCCCAGGTATCGCAGGGATTCCTAGCTATTCTTTTGCCAAAATCTAGGTTACCTCTCATCCCCCGAACATCTTGACGTCCCCATCATCAGGACTGGCAAGAATGATCAATACCGTGGCCAACGTTCCCGAAGGTAGCAACTGCTGCAGGATCCCTGTGCAATTTCCTGACGCTTGGCCTCCAAACCAGTGGTTCAAGGCGCCAGCGTTTGCTGCCTTGCTGAGCTCCTCTCCAGAGTCCAGTGCGGCGAGACCAGCTGTGGAAGCTTGGGAGTCTGTCATGTCCGCGACTCTTCACACCAGCCAACAATTTTTAGCACGTTCATGCTGCAAGATCCAACTGCAAAGTCCTCAACGTCTGATGGGAACTGATGTTGAATGCCCTGACAACAACGCTGGCTTCCTCTCCACCATCTCCTGAAAGAATCTCCGCGCCTCCAGGCCAAAAAACCACGTGGCAGGGCTTCCCACGAAGACCCCGCGCGTGCGCAGAGCCTCTGCAGCTTGACCTTGATCCGACTGCCATGCTGAGGCAAGACTACAGGAGTTGGAGTCTAGTTAAATTTTCTTTCTTTGCCCGGCGGTGCTGCTGTCCAGCTCTTAGCCAAGTAGCTGTTCACAGAGGGGTGCGGTGAGGCCATGAGCCCTTGCCCGCAACAGAGATGCATGACGTTTTGAGTCTTGTGAGACGGCTACCTAAACAGCGACATGCAATGCCGCTAAGCAACGCAGACGCTTGAGGCAGAGCAAATTGGCGGCCCGCGCCACACGGTCCTGAGATGCCAACATCGCACATGACCAGAAGCTTCCCCAACTTAAGTTGTTCAACTGATTCAACTGCATGGCCAAAGCCTGGTCTCAGCCATGACATGCCATGACCAGGCCGTCTCCCGAGCGTCTGTATCATGAAGGAGCTCTGTCATGCGCGCAGCAGTGGGCGCCAGGGACTCGGGAAGACCCAGGGCCCGCCTTCATGCCACGTACACAGGCTAGCACAAGAGCACTCTAGCACGCCCCGATGCAGACTCGGGCACCCGAATATGTAACGATTGAGGTTCTCTCGAGGTGGGGACACAAGAAACCAAACACTCAAGATCACATCAGGGCAGATGAGCGGCATGGCTCGGTCCCGTGCCGCTTTCACCGCAGGCAGGCTCTGCACGGCGCTGTTAAACCTTGGCTAAGCAAAGGTCGCTCCAAGCACATCCCTTTCTGTTTCACATGTCTCCCAAAAGCTTCCAGGTTTAAATCCTAAAGCCCGACAACTTATTTGAGTTCAGAGGCCCGCCATGTCATGTTAGAGCAGGGAAATGCTTCCCAAGCATTGGGGAACAGACTGTATCCAGCATCTTGAGCACGGAGCGAACCAAAGCACTCAATACTTGGGGTACTTGGGGTTTGGCATTTGTAGTTGCTTGTTGGAGTATACTAGGTCCTCAAATACTAGGTGCTTCAACCCTTATGGTAAGGATCTATGTTTTCCGACGTCTAGCACGTCCGTGTTCCCGAGTTCTGCCCTTGCCTCTGAAAAGGCATTGATTAAGAAAACAAGTACACAGTCTTCTTCCAGCGGCTGCGCATCGGTATTGCCGAAAAGGTTGGCGCGCCTGGGCGGGAAGGATAGCTGAAGACCCTCTGCCTTCTGTGTGTCACTGAACTCATCCAAGATGCTGCAACAAGGCAAGGGACTTGTTGGCATCCACCTGCAGAGAGAACATGAATACATGATCAGCAAACAAATGCCATCATGCTGTGCCACATCTCTTGCCATGTGAATTTCCATATCATGTGCTGCTCGTTCCGATTCTGGCGTGACAATAAGCGCCTCTTCGCGCTCATCCTCCGACTCCTCAAGAGGCTGCAACGCGTGGGATAAGATTTTCTCCTGTTGCAGGGCAGGAGCTTTGAGCTCAAAACAGCGTCTGCGGACATCTAGCGTTGTACTTGCAGGAGGCCTGCTTCCGGAGCTGCGCCAAGTGAGCCTCTCGGGCTCCAGCCATGGCCGAAGCAATTGCATCGTCCTCCTCAGACATGTCGGGTTGCATCAAAAGTGCAACGAAAGTCAATGAACTCCTTGCCTTGCATTGCTGCTAGTGTCCCAACCCCTAACATTCCCCAAACCTGAACTCCACGAAAAACTCACCGTTCTGAGTCAGGCCGCGCACATCGCCAGAGCACCAGCTAGAGCTGAGGAATGACTCTGCGGAAGCAGTGCCAAAGTTGAGCCTGCACATCACATGTTTGGGGTATATCGTTTTTCTTGCGCAGTCCGGTTCGGGGGCCCGGGTCCGGGGCCGGGTCCGCGTCCGCAGTCGGGTTCGGTCCGGGTCCGTGTCGGGTCCGGATCTGTGTCCGCGTCCGGCTGGATCCGGGTCCGCGTCTGCGACCGGGTCCGTCCGGGTCTGTCTTGGTCCGGGTCGGGATCCGGGTAACCCAAAAACCCTAATCCTAAAAACCCCAGCCCCTACCCTTTAAGACCCTAACCCTAAAAACGTTACCTTAAAATCCTAGCCCTGAAAATCCTATCACGAAAACCCTATCACGAAAACCCTAACCCTAAAAACCCTAACCCCGAAAACCCTAACCCCAACAGCAAAGACACAAAAAACTCTAACGCTAAAACCTTGACCCTAAAAGCCATATCACTACAAAACGTAACCTCAAAGGCACTAAGCTTAAAAATCCTAAAGCCAAAGCCCTTCAAAACCCTAACCCTAAACACCCCAACCCTTCAAAACACAATGCTGGAAACCCTAACCCTTAAAACCCTCACCCTGAAAACCCTAAATACCTTAACCCTAAAAGCCCAAACCTTACAAACCATAATCCTGAAAACCTAACCCTAAAAAACCAACCATAGAATCCCTAACCTTAGAACCCTAACCCTAAAAACCATAACCCTAAAAACCATAACCCTAAAATGCCTAACCCTAAAATGCCTAACCCTAAAAGCCACAACCCTAAAACCCCTAACCCTAAAATCCTAACCCTAAAACCCTAACCCAAAAACCCTAACCCCAAAAACCCTAGCTCTAAAAGCCCTGACCCTAACAACCATGACCCCCAAAAACATAATCCTACAAAACGTAACCACAAATACCCTAACCTTAAAGACGCTAAAAACCCTAACCCTCAAAAAGAAAATTCAACAAAAACTAACCCTAAAAAACCTTAACCCTAAAAACCCTGACCCTAAAAAACCCAAACCCTAAAGACACTAGCCCTCAAACCCCGAACACGAAAAACCCCAACCCTAAAAAACACTAGCCCTCAAAACCCGTAACCCTAAAAATCACAACCCTGAAAACACTGACCCTCAAAACCCTAAACCGGAAAAAAAGCACAACCCCAGAAAGCCAAACCCTAAAAGCCACAACCCTAAAAACCCTAAGCCTCAAAACCCTAACCCTAAACACCCTAATTCCAAAACCCAAAACCATAAAAACCATAACCCAAAAACCCTAATCCGAAAACCCTAACCCTAAAAACCCTAACCCTAAACACCCTTACCTTAAAATCCTAACCCTGAAAATCTTATCACGAAAACCCTATCACGAAAACCCTAACCCTAAAAACCCTAACCCCCAAGGCAAAAACTCAAAAAACCCTAATGCTAAAAACCTTGACCCTAAAAGCCATATCACTACAAAACGTATCCTCAAAGGCACTAAGCTTTAAAATCCTAAAGCCAAAGCCCTTCAAAACCCTAACCCTAAACACCGCAACCCTTCAAAACACAACCCTGGAAACCCTAACCCTTAAAACCCTCACCCTAAAAACCCTAAACACCCTAACCCTAAAAACCCAAACCCTAAAAACCCTAACCTTAAAAACCCTAATTCTGAAAACCTAACCCTGAAAACCTAACCCTAAAAACCATAACCCCAAAAACCTAACTCTTCAAAACCTGACCCTAAAAACCCTGACCCTAAAAACCATAACCCAAAGGACGCTAAACCTAAAACTCAAGCCCTAAAAAGTCTAACCCTAAATACCCTAAGCTTAAAAACCCTAACCCTAAAAAATCTAACACCAAAAACCCTGACCCTAAAAACCACAACTATAAAAACCAACACCCTTAAAAGCTTAGAACGGAAAACATGCAGAACTGTCATTGTTGGAAACTTGTTGTGACAGAGATATAGAAAAGTCGTTGAATGGTTCTCTTCCAAAACAACTGTTCATCTGTCGTGGCTTTTGCAAGTTTGGTGTCGGCAAACGTAGAATTATCCCTCAAACAAGGTTATCTTCAAAATGTAGGACATTCGTTGGTATCGGAAAGTTGGTGGAGAAATATAGAAGTGTTATTGAGTTTGGAAGGTTTTTCTTAACACATGCATAACTGTCATGACCGTGCGGGGTCCGGGTCTGTCCCGATTCCGAGGGTCGGGTCAGGGTCTGGGAGCAGGACCAGTCCGAATCCGGATCCGAGAGGGCCGGGTACGGACGAGGAGTCGAGAAAAGTGATATTGTGCATGTTTGCTGATCAAAATTCCTGTTCCCCTAGATTTCCCTTATACGTAGACCTAAAGTAACCCTCCAGAATTTCCGGACGTTCAGATTTACGCTCGCATACCATACATGCCTTGCAAGTGAAGCCCGTCCAGGCCTTCCTTTTGTGAAGCGTCGTCCGTGTAAGAGTGCTGCGCAACTTGCCTCGTCTATTCTGCATTGCCCAGGCTACCGAATTCAAGGACTTGGCACTGGCATACTTCTGTTCTATGCACACTTAGACTCATAGGAATCCAGTTTTTCATTTGGCGAGACACCGCTGCACAGCTGCAAGGCCAGCACGGCAGTGGAAGCGTAGCTCCTGCAATTTTTTCCGCGCAGGAGAGCTCGAAGGCACTTTATCTATTCCGTGGGCTTGACGGCACAAATTTGAAGATCCATGGCTGGCAGGCTTTTCTCATCACCACAATGCCGGGCCTCCTCGACTGACCTGCCCTTGGCACCGTCTTTCTGCGCGTCACGATCCTTCTGGGAAGCCTTAGCCAGGATGGATCGAACCGCCTAGAATCGTCCACGCCAGCTGCATTCAGGCCACAAAGCACTGAAATGTTCTGGGGCTGCATGGGCTGCTGAGAAAAACATGCCAAGCAGCAACGGGCGCAGGTGTGCTGCCAGCAAGATCTGCCCTCTCATCACTTCCTCCGTCACCTAAGCTCCAGCTGGCCTAAACAGCGGCTGGGTACGGAGCTGTGTAGAGTGACCAGGAATTCTCGCACGTAACAAGCAAGCCTAGCTCTGCCAAGGCGCCCTGGTGTTCCTGGAGTTCTTGGTTGTCAGACCCTGGCACTGGGGCTTGGCCTTCACTGCCATCCTGTCCGTTGACCATCTGTGCGTCACACCTTAAGATAGCAAAGCGGGTAAATTGCTGTGGGAGCACTTTGGCAAGGCGGCTTCTCGAATCTAGGTTCTACATGCTCAAGTGGAACACGTGTGGCTACAAACGTGACACGCAAGTTTCAACTTCTTGGCAACTGTGCAAAGCCGTATGATTCTCTGGACAAGTTCTGAGGCACTCCTGGTGCTTCAACGCCTGTGCAGCTTGCACATAGCGCTGCACATCATCCTGGCTTCCAGGCTCCTTGCATCTTTAAGACAGAACAGAGACCTCCCTCCTTGACTGAATGAGCAGCGCAGCCCGTCGCGACAACCCGTCCTCGTCCACAGATCCTTCTTCCTTGCCAGACCACAAAAGTTCGGAAACATCCAAAAGTGCGGAGGGCTCCCAAAGCAAGGGAGACGGCCTCCATCCTCCGCTTCTCTCCTTCCATCTCCAGGGCCAGGATGCCCTTCTGCCTTGGCGGAGGAAGCCCGAAGTTGCACGAAGAGTGGCTACAACGTGTATCGTGACCATCGCGCTGCTGGATGAAGCCATGCCACTGCTGGTAGGGATACAGCTGCCTCAGAGCTAGAACTTCGCGTTGCACATCTTCTGCCGCATATTCTTGCTGCAACCTGCCAAAGTTCAAACGATCATCAACCTGGACCGCTAGGGGAGTGCCTGTTCCCAACCACAACCCTCTTCGAGCCTCCAGGCAGCTCGACGGATGCAGTCGTTTCTCTGTTCCATGGCTGCCTTGTCATCGTTACATAATAGAGTATATATTGGGGTTATATAGGCATAATGGAAAATAAAATGGAAACTTCTGTAAAATAGAATCATTTACGACAGACGGAACCAATGCACCATGTAAAATGCGAAAATGTTTCATCGTATCCCTTACAGACATGAAGGTTACGACACACTTTTTCAGAGCTCAACAGTGGCGCAAGTGCAAATCAAACCAATCCATTCCCAGCACTGCTAGCATCCCAGCTTGCGGGAGCTCAGCTAGAACTGCCTCCAAGGGCCTCCAGTTCTCTCCAACTCTCCAGTCCACTGCAGCGTCACCAAACAGGCCTGATGAACCCAGGCCAATTCGGGATACCACTCCGCGTCCTTCAACATACCTGATGTTATAAATATGTTGCCGGCAAAGCTTGGCTGCACAAAAACGGCCACGCAATAATCCACGCAACTTCTGGGCTGTTTCCACGGCCTTCTCTACAATGACATCTAGGGGATGCTTCAAATGCATTTCAAAAGATAAGAATTTTGGGGCAGGCGGCTTGAACCTCCGACTGCCATTGACTGGCCGGCCAAAGCCATTGCTTGAGTTTCGCAGCAGGCTCACCAGGCAGTGAAGGTCCAAGCCTTCGAGGTCGATCTTCACGTACTCAGGCCGTATCCGACGCACGAACTGCGAGTAAAGCGCCCCGCAGGCTCGCCTTGGCACCGTCTGCACCTCCGAATCCTTCAAAGGCTTCCCATCAAACAATTCGGAAACCTCCGGCTCGTGATGATCAATCCTAAATTCTGCCGTTTCTGGGGCTGAGCTTGCACCGGCTGCTGCATGGATCAGGGTCAAGTTCCGACGCTTTGCGAAGTGCCCCAAACGCGAATCCAGCTGCTGCAGCGCCTTTGCGTTACCATCAACTGCAACAACCTTGAGACCTGAATAAAGGTAGAATTCCGTGTCCAACCCACCGGAGGCTCCGAAGTCGAAGGCCAGGGGTCGAGTAGGTCGGCTGGCTGCGCTGCGCAAAGAAAGGTACTTCTGTTGCCTGAACTTCCTGTGAAAGGGTCTGCCCGTGCGCAGGTTCTGGACCAGCTGTAATGAACGAATGAACTGCAATTGAGCTAAGGTCATTCCGAAAGCTTGAAACAGGCCGCCCCATGGTCTGAGTTCCCCGTCAAGGAATTCCAGCAAGTTCAGTGCCTGAACAGACTCAGCTGATAAGCCTATGAACAAGTACTCTAACAGTATTCTATGAATTGCAAAGCCGGCAGCACAGGAGCCAGTCGTCTTGCGCCGTCCCAAGGGGAGGTCCAAGTTCCGAAACCATGCTGATACACTGGTGTGTAACGCCCACAGATTGCCGGCAGCCACGCGGACCTTGAAAAGGAAACTCTGCCAGTCAAGCGCGTCACACCCTTCCAGCAGATTCTGCAAACTCGAGGGGAGAGATCGGCTAATCCGGAAGAAGGAGCCGTGCGGCTTGCAGCAACGCGAAGCATTCCGGTCACCATCCCAACACGAAGCGAAGCCAATATTCCAGACCTGAAGCTGGGCCTGGTTAACTCGTCTGGGATAGCAACAGAGTTCATGCACCTGCCAACCTGACCAGCAGTGTGGGTCACCCCACTGAATGACTCCCTGAGCAGTCTGAGGCAAGAGGAACACGGCAAGCAGCGCCGAAGAAGCATGATGAACCATGCATGGGGAGGAGCAGGAAGTCCTTTCAGTCAGTTCACCATGGCGCGAGACTTCAACAATTGCCGACACCGTCAAACTCTAGATCGGTAGCAAGCTTGTGCTGCTGGAACCATAACAATCAGTGCCTAATCTCCTGAACAAACACGGGCACGTCTTGGTAGGTAGAGCTGGTTTCATTCTTAGGAAGTGAACTCAAAAATGCCAAGATCACTTTGGACCCTGATGGCTGCGGTCTCTCTCAGATAGGCATGCACTGGCACAGTACAACCTGGGCCATCGGATCGCCAACTGCTAGTCTGAAATTCTATAGTCCCACGCCCAAATCCATTGTTGTGGCCCCTTCAACTTCTAGCTGCCGCTCCTGATTATCCAGAACAGCTCGACCACCGCCCCATGTGCCTTCTTCTCTTCTTCGGTTTCTGCTGCCTCCAGGATTTCTGGGCCCAAAGGCGTCATCTGCTGCGGCATGGGGTACTGTACACGACCTTGGTGATTGCTACGAGACTTCATCAGCCAACCAGCAGTTTGTCTGTGCACACCTGTCTGACACCATTTTAGGCCTGGCGTCGGGCTCCAACGCCAACTCTTGGCACAGTCTCCTCCTCCTTGTCATTGTGTCGGGAGCCAGGCAACACGTAGCCTGCAGGACGACATATTGCAGCCCATATACTTCGCGCTGCAACCCAGGTTTAGGGATTGGTCCTGCCTATGCGAGCAGCTGCAACTTTGTCCTCGTGCACTTGTAGCCAAACATAGATTGTGATAGCCTCGGCTCTGCTGTTCAGAACGGTAGTGAGCTGCTCTGCAGCCCTGCAGTTGCAAATATTTCTTTCCGCCGCACCCAAAATGCTTTCTACAGTCCTTTTTGGTGACCTCATGCTCCATTTGGAGGTGCCCAAATGGCGGAAAGGGTCGAAAAATGTCGAAAGGTTGAAGTTTTGCACCGAGTGGCATTAAGCGGACGCCCCATGATCACGAAATTGAGCCCACTCCCGTCCTCCTTGCAAGCAACTCTGCCGATTTCTGGTGCTAATACGTGCTAATAAATGGTCATGGTCATGACATATCTGGCCAGCCCTGCACTGGCACTGCATGCTCCCCTATTTCACGTATACCCATGTCAGGCCACGCCTTTCCGCCAACGACGACCTCGGAACTGTTTTCTGGGAGCCGGCTGCAGTCTGGAATCCTGCCAGCCACATTACCTCGGTGAAACTCTACACTGGCAGAAAGGCAATGCGTCTACATGGGCGAAAGTCTAAACTCCCAGTATCCCCCTCAATGAGCCTTGTAATCGTCCCCTAGATCATCCCTCTATAACCCCGCTTTACATCCTTTAAGGAGTCTAGAATACAGCTCATATGGTAAAGTTGGCTAAATACCATCTACACAGTCAAGAGACTAGCCGGGAAGAGGCGCCATCCAAAGCCAAGCTTGCCACTGACAATCTGGAAATCCACCTGCAAGCCCAGGGCTAGGAACAACATGGGGGCTTCCCAAATTAAGGTTACCATTTTGGGGGTCCCCATAATAAGGACTACAATATTTTGGGGTTTATATTGAGCTCATTCATGTTTGAGAGCTTGGCTTTGCTGCACCTGTCTCGTAAGGAGGCGCAGGCAGAGGCAGTGCCCTTGCCAGCCAGATCCTGCCAGTCGATGTGTACAGCAAGCCATCACAAGAGGCGGCTGAGGAAAGGTGCTTCCAATACCAACAATCATCACATTCAAAGGCAATTAGTGGCCAGTTTCTATTGATTGAAGGCAAGGCCTGCTGTTGTCATGGACTCTTGCTGCCAGGCTTCCGTTTGCTGAGCTGCTTTCAATAGGAGTGAACAGCAAGCCTGCGGCTCGCAATGAACGAAGGGTCACTGCAGATTTTCCTGCAAAGATCTGCTGCTGCAGGCAGGAGCACCTGCTTGCTCCAGTCTCCAGTTGCACGGTTGGCCCACCAGGCGCCTTCAAAATTGCATAGGGAATGCTAACAACAAAGCAGTTTGATTCTACGACACACCCAGTTTGGGCTCCGGCAGTGGCAGCAGCTGTGGTAAGCGTTGGCTTTGTGGGTCGTTGCTCCATGCCACCTACACCACTGAGACTGAGGCACATGCAAGTTCACGTGCCTACCACTGAAGATCTGACTGCCATCAGAGGTGAAGATGCTTTTTATGATGGCCACCTGCCCACGTGGATCTGCTCCGCTGGAGTCGCTGACTGTAAGCTTCCCGTCTTTGATGGTCACGCAAGATGTGGCTGCCCTGCAGAGGCCCCCAACCACTAAGCATTAGAAGGATCAAGTGAATGAGAAAGGTTCGTGGTAAAGTGCCTCAAGATGTTGTCGTGGTCTGAGCGGCTGCAGCCTGTGTCCTAACTGCAACGAATTTCCGGCCTTGATCCTGCCGATCCGTATGTCACCTCCAGCAATCAAGGCAAGAAGAGACCAAGTCTTGCAATACCTGTCCAGCGTGCACTCACGACAAGCGTGGAGGGCACCTGCGCAGCGACGGGCCCACCCTGGGAGCCTTTGCCTCATGCAAAACAAAGAGTGGTCCCAAACCGGCTCGCTCTGTAATCTACTGCCAAACATCAAGTTCCCACCCCTTAGGCCCTAAGGCTTGGCATGCGACGCTAGGCGGCGCTTGTGCTGTCTGTGGGACCGGCGTAATGATTGTTGCACATCACAAGAGAACTCTCACGGAAAAGGAGGATGACTGAATGAAGCCCCCATGGCTGAGCTTCCGGCTTCCCAGGGCTAAGCGCACCAGAAGACACACTCGTTGTCCAGCCTAAGCACGTGAAGCCGCAACATCAAGTAGAATTCTCCCCCACTCTTCTCTGCAAGTGAAGGCCAAGCCAGACACCCGCGGCAATTGCATCAGAAAGTTCCTGCCAAATGCACGAGAGCGAACGACGTGTCAGGTGGCAGTTTCGCATCAGTCCTTCCATGGCCGTCATTGCAACCGCCAACAGAAGCATTGGCTTCTGATGGACCCATCTTGTCCTCTTCCTGAACAGAAGTTGGCTCTTACTTCATGTGGAGTTTGCTGAAGTCACATTGGATTCGCTGCACAGGCTTGCTGCCATGGCAAAGGTGCCTTGACAAGCACTTCATTCTTCGGGTAAAGCCTGACTTTGAACCCGAGCGGGCTGCTGATGATCTGAAACTCCAAAGAGCTCTCCTGTGCAAAGTGCGGCTTTACGCATGTGTTGCTCAACTGTTTGACATGACTTGCCCTGCTGTCCTCCAGTTGTAGCTGCAAAGCATACTCCAAGACCTTCCCACCTGCAGTCTGCAGCTTGCAAAGTGAGATGTTTTCCCGAACCGTCTTCAAGGCAAAGCTGCTGAACTACACATCCACTAGCTCCCAAATTCCACACACGGCAGGACTTCCTGGAACATGTCCACTATTCGACACAAACTTGCCGTGCAGCGTCAGAGCACAAAAACAACTGTAGACGACTGTTGCTCGCCTACGAGGGAGCCGCATGGCCAGAACTCCAGACCTGGAACTTCGACCTGCAAAACGCTCATCTCTAACTAACTAGCCAACTTAAAGCAGGCATGCTCATGTGTTCAGGTCCGGGTATCGCTAGACTCCGGTCGTGTTGGCACTGCACCGAATCCGAATAAAAATCGGCATGACAAGTGCGGCCTGCCAGCTGCAGAAGTCACCGACCAAGCGCAGTGGCAGTAGCTCATCAACCTCACTTGCAAACGGCAGGGTCTGCAGGCTACAACGCCGATGAGATTATCAATGAGAATTCGCAGCAGGGACGTCGCAACCTGAACCTGGCTCCAGCCCTAGCTCCCTGATAGTTGCCATGTCACACATGGCTTTTTTGGCCGCGTCGTCCTTCATAGTACACAAACATGGCAAAACCTAGCAAAAGTTTGACACAGGTCATGCTCCGCCTGAACCTGATGTTCTAGCACGGGTCCTCATCCAAAGCCTTCAGGGACTATCCCGCAGCCCACGAAGCCATGTTGTTGCCACATGCCGCAGCTCAACTTGTTTGCAGTATCTTGTTTCAGTGCGTCAGATCAACCTCTGTTTGCCTCAGAACAGTACTGGACTGAGAGTGCTGGGCCAGGATCATGCCAGCATACAGCTTGGGAAGTTGTGTGTTGATACAATTGAGCCTTCAAACATGGCGGCCATTTCGTGGATTGGCTCATCCATGCCAAGTCACGTCAGTCAACATAGCTCGAATGACTGCGGCCATTCCGGCCCATCAATACAGAAAAATAAACTCAAGGAATGCCACTGCCAACATACCAACAAACAAACCTCACGCTCGCACTCCGTATTCTGCACACACGACGTCCTCCGCCTCGCGCTGGTGCTGGGCCAGGAGGAAGTCTATGTCATGACATCCAATCTCAGAAGAACAGGTGACGGCCCTGACACCTTCTAGTCTGCAAAGGAGCCTGATACAATTGAAGACTCAGTTAGCAGGTCAAAATCCACAGATGCTCCACTTCCCCCGTTGCAAGACATGTTCTGTCTATGTTTCATCCATCAGGGGCAGATTTCAGTCAATCGATCTCCTGGAACTTTCAGGAGATTTTGTGGAACCCAAAATCAACCTTCTGATTGATGAGATGATCATCACCAAGCTCATACTGGGCCACGAGCCACCAGCACACCTTGGACAGACCCGTCTGGTGCACTGCGAGGGCGCACCAACACCTCAACCTGCACATGTCGTGCACAAGCAGGCACCCTTTTGAGTACTTTTGAGGAGCTCCTGAGCTATTGAAGCTTCGGTACAAGTTTTGAAAGCTGAGCAATCGCCACAGGCGGCCTCGTGCTCATTTCCTTGCAGGTCACGCAAAGCCAGCTCTGTCTGAACCTCAGACTCACCACCTTGGGCTTGGCAGGCAGTGCATCCAGCAGCTTCTCGAGGACACTGTGTAGGTAGTACGTAGGTGACTGAGAAGGCAACTGTAGACCCGTCGTAAAGCACACGACATCTCCTGGACATCCTCCTGCCCGAACC